GGTTTAGTAGAAAGCAAAATTTTGTATCTCTTTCAACAGTTGAATCAGAATATGTAGCTGCTGGAGGATGTTGTGGTCAACTAATTTGGATGAAACAAATGTTGGGAGATTATGGGTTGACCAGTGATACCCTGACCATATATTGTGATAATTCAAGTTCTATTGACATTTCGAAAAATCATGTTCAACACTCACGAACTAAACACATAGATATTAAACATCATTTTATTCGTGATATAGTTGAGAAAAATATAGTGTGCTTAAAGTACATTCCTACAGAAGATCAGCTGGCTGACATCTTTACAAAGGCATTAGATTATGAGAGGTTTTCTAAACTCATAAAATCTCTCGGGATGTGTACTCAATAAACATGTCCTGAAATATGTTGCAGCACCTCATCAAAATATCTTAAGCTGCAACATAATTTACTGAAGCTTAGCTTCTTTAAATAATGACTTCACTGTGATGGATTATTTTCTAAATAAGTAACTGGAAGTCTTTCACCTTGAAACGTGATCATGCTTCATGTAAACATTTGGGGAATAATTACACTCACATAAGTCAAACTCCTCTATTTTGATAATCATATCTTAGTAACTGAGGAACCTTCAAACTGAACACTTGATCATGTTCCATGTGAATTGTTTGAATTGAAAATAAGAGTTTTATTTAAAAAAAAAAAAAAATTATATAATTCTATGCATGTTAGCCAATTTTTTTTCTCACTATTAATCATTAATAAATGTGTTTTATATTTTTGTGAATAATTCATGAGTGCTACGGTTTTTATTCTTTATTTTTATTGAATTATCCCTATTTATATGGGTCATGGGTACATGGGTTAGTCCTTCATTTTCCACTAAGTCCACTCCTTATTATGCCATGTGTCACGGTTTGCTTTAAACTACCAAATAAACTTTTATTCTCCTTAATCACACTTTCTCCAAGAAAAACGCACACCACTTCTTCACATTCTCCACTTCAATTTTTTTTTCCAGCAAAAATTAGGGCTTATAAATTTCGTGCTTCTTCTTTCGAAATTCACACTCAAAAATCAAAAGCACAAGGAAGCAATCTCTCTTTATCTACTGTATCATGGCATCTCCTCCTAGAAATCCTCTTACAGCCGCCGTTGGTGATGTCCACAACGATGCTGCAGCACCTGAACCAGCAGACCCAAATCAGGCCATCATCGTTCATCCTGTCAACCTTGAAGTTGTACCAATCAGCTACATTGAGCCCGGAGACGAGCTGAATCCGATCGACCCAGACAACTTCGAGTTCATGGGTCCCTCTTCCACTGCCGGAAGATTTCCAACTCACCGGTCCAAGCGCATGAATCCCTTCCCAGATCTGAATACTGCTGGGTCACAACGCCGGAGGGGAGAAAACTCTCCCAGAAGAGGAGGCAGAGGTGGAAGAAGAGGAGGCAGAGGTGGTCGTACACTAGTTAGGCCAAACCCACCAAGAGGCCTTTATTTGGTTGATGAAGAAACTGATGATGAAGAAGGAGATCCTACCTTTGCAGAACCAGAGGCCCAAGCTCTATCCTCCAGCTCCTCTGAGTCATCATCCAACGACTCACCTCCTCCAGCATCAACTCAGGGGGAGACATCTCAGCCTAGCATGGCAGCAGCAGCCTCTCAACATCCTGTTTCTGAAGGTGTTGCTGCACATGTTCCAGATTATGCTGCTGCACCCACTGTCTCAGCAAATGTTCCTCAGAATGCTGCTGAGGATGCTGCTCCTTATCAGGATGAAGAAATGCCTGATTTTTCTGGGATGTCCTCTGCTGAGCATGTTGACATTCCCACTGTTGATGCTCAGGATTTTACTACTACTGAAGAAACACCATCAGCACCACATGCAGACCGTCTGGAAACTCTGGCAGAAGCAGCAGTTCAAGTGGATGCATCCCCTCCTCAGGCTGAAGAACCAGAGAAAAGTGATGACATCTGGGAGGTTCCTCTTGTTTCCTTTCGCAAAAATTTGCCCTCCTCAGAGTCAGACAGTGACTCTTCTGAGGACTCTTCTCAGAAGGAAGAAGATGCTGCCCCACCTGTTGCATCACCTGAACCAGCATACATTCCAGATGAGCTTGAAGATTCAGAAGATGAGGACTCCTCAGAAGAAGAAGAGCCAGACTTTGATGGGAAGGATTTGTCAACTCCTTTTGAGGTAAACAATGCCTTCAGTCCTACTTTTTATTTTGAATCTGATTCAAATTTGAGCCCTCAAATCATGAATTGCCAATTCATTGAGGAAAAGAAAATTTCCAAGGAAGAGTTTGATAGGCATAGGATCGCTGCTTTTCTTCATCAAAGAAAAATCCTTAGCCTAGTTGAGGTTGCTTGTTCTTATGATCCCACTGTTGTGAAGGAATTTTATGCCAATTTGCAAACCTCCTTTTTAAAGAAAAACTCTCCAAACTTTGGCAAAGTTTATGTGCGAAACTCCATTTTCTCCTTTTCTCCCAAAATTATCAACTCTCCTTTACAAACTCCTACTGTGATTAATGAGGATAATTATGGTGATTTTACTGAGGTTTGTAAAACTATTTCTGGAAATCGTTTAAAATTCTGGCCTGCTCACCCCAGAAAATTCAAGGTTTCTCAACTCACTGTCTTTTATTCTGTCTTGTTTAGACTCACAGTGATGAATTGGATTCCATCCAAAAATGTCTTTGTGGTAACTAAACCTCATGCAGTACTCATGTATAAATTGGGGATGGGATTACTAGTTGATTTTGGCAAACTTTTCTTTAATACTATAGGTCATCTTGCCCAGAAAATTTCACCCTCTACTCATCTTCCTTATCCTTCACTCATCTATTCCATTTTACTCTCTCAAAACTTGGGCCAAGATGACTCAGAATATCTTCACACTCCACTAGGCATGATCACTATTTCTCAAAATTTTCTAAAAGCTCCTCATGTCCAAGATCTTCCCTGGAATGGAGATAATTTTCTCTCAACTGAATCAGGTCAAAATAATCCTGGTACTGAAGGTGTTGCTCCTCATGTTGACAACACTCCTAGCATTCTTGTTTCTGTTCCTAGAGATCTTCTGTTACAACAGCTTACTCACTCTCTAGCTCAGATTACTTATCACCAGTCCATGGTGGATATGCTCCAAAAAGCTCTTTCTGATCAAAAAGGGGGAGAAAAAGCCAGTCATGAAGTTGAAGCAGGGACTTCTCACCCTTTGGATGCCAGAGGCAGAGAGTAAGGAGTCAATGAAGAAGGAGCAAAGCATGAGGGTGAAGCTCAAGGAGTAGAGGAAAGCAGTGGATCCAGTGCTAGTGATGGAGGAGCAGCAGCTGATACTGAGGAGACTTTGGATATTCTACTTTAATTGTTTTCATGAACAATATTTTCATTTTGTTCTGTTTTTATTTTCCCTCTGAACTTTTGTTTAGGACTGCACTTTGGTTATTTCCTTTCTTTTAAATTGTGTTGGACTATCTTGCTGAATTTGTTTTGAATTGATTTTTCTATATTTTGTGTATTATCAAATTCAGGGGGAGTTCAAGCAATATCTCAGGGGGAGTTTTAGCTAAAATTTAGTTTTGATCAGAAAGTTAAAAAGGGGGAGTTTGAAACACATGGATTATTTCCACATTGTGTTTTTAGCTTTCTTATTATCTAAACTAAATTTTAGTTAGTGGGTTAAGTAGTGCTTAGTGGATTAAATTGTGGAATTTATCTTAACTTCCAAACTAACCCACTAACCCACTTTCTTGAGTGCTCTTGTGGTTGGTTTTTCTAGCAGATCATGGGCTGAGGAGTGGAAGCTTGGAAAGTCTATAAATACCAAACTCAAGACTCAAGAAAGTTACACATTTCGAAGAAACAAAAACGAGTGCTGAAGTTTTGTCCACGAGAGTTTTAGTGTGTTTTTAGGATCTGTTGTACGTACTCCTTAAGAGTACATTCTTTGAAATCTAGAATTTTTAATATTTCTCTTTTTGTATCTAGATTTGATTGTAAGAATGATCATGAGAATGATTCATTCATAAGGAAGAAGTTTTCGCACCTCTTATGTTTGTATTCTTGGAATACTGTTTTTAATATATATTTTTCCGTCATGTAAAGGGCAAGTTCACAAGTCTTTACTTGTGAACATTTTTAATTCTGAGTATTGCCTATTTATCTCTATATTTCCGCTGCATGTTTTATCAAATGTCATAACACTTCAGATAACATCTCTGTTTTTAAACGAATTCGGGACCATAAATTCTTTCAGTGGATTATGTTAATTACATAGCGCAAAAATATAATAAAAAAACATTTAAAAAATATGAAATGCTAGATCTTACACCAAATCATGCACATAACTAAAAATACTTCTCCGTCTAAAATCTTTATCTTCTCCTTCCTCGTCCTTCTTCTTTTTCCCTAATTTTTTTCACAAAATCACACACTAAAAACTTCCCTAGCATTTCAAGTTCGAATTTGACAAAAATCTTTACATGTTCAAACTAAAATAAAGTTGAAATTTGAGGAAAAAAATTGAATTGATGACATGAATTCTGGTTGTGTTATAGTATTATTTCGTTATCGCAGTCGTGTTTTGGGTTTATAACTGCATTAAATTTTTTGCCTTTTTTTCTAGGGTCAAGGCGACGACGTTGACTATATTGAACCAACGTTGCTTGACTTTGACAAGAGTGTCGAAGCATTGCAAGTTTCTTGTGGATTTATTTATTTATTTTTATAGCAATGCAATTTTCATGGATAACTAAAGATATTTGTGTATTTTCACCTTAATTCATTGCAGGTACATGAAAAAAATATGCAAATAAAAGTTACACATATCCTACTAAAGAAAATTCCGGGATGGATCGGAGCATAATACAGAGGTTAGTAACAATATCAAAATATTAATCTATCGAAACATTTTTGAACTCGGGACCGCGAAAATGTATAATTTTAATGAGGTTATTGATTTATCGAGAATCTAATGTAATTTTATCTGTAAATATGCTTCAAATGGAATAATTGATATAATTACTTAGAAATAGTATATCATGTTTGAATTGTGACAACTGACAATATTATTCTAGCAAGAGAAAAAACAATATATAATAAGATCAATAAATTCCTATAATAATTATGTACTTAAATAATAAAAATAATATTTCCCCACAGTTAATTTGTATCCATGCCTATGTATTATATTGTTGCTTTCGTAAGAAAATCCGAATCTCGAATTCGCTTCTCACTCGAAAGCTCTGCTGCTAGTTTAAACAGTGCTTCCTCGTTCGTTTCCTCGCTAATCGGCACAAAATTTCTACTTTCCGAATCTAGCCTCGATACTCGGTTCTTCAACAAATTTTCTCCGACTTTCACTAAATTCTTCAAATTCTTCTTCGTCGCAACGTCCATTGAACGCGTTGCCCCGGTTAAAGAATCGTCCTGAAACATAAATACGTTTTTATTTTTTTATTACATGTATCGAAAATTTGATATTTTTTTGTAAATGAATATTTAATGAAAAAGAAAAAAATACCTGAATTCGTAGATCATTATCTTGAGAGAGAAAGCGTTGAAGATATTCTTCTCCACCGTGAGCGTCTTGGAGATAAAATAGACTGTCGTAATCAGTGAGTAACGACGCAAGTCGACCGATTGTACGCCAAACGGTCGATGAACCATTCATTAGTGTGCATTTGTAAAGAAACCATTTTCTTGCTTTCTTGATGTTATATTTAGGTAAACAACTTCCCACCGACAAAAAGATCGGGGAAAAGTTACGCTTCTCCTTTCGTATTTGCATCATTGCAGCTAATATCTGCAAAAAAAAAAATCCCGGAAAAATAATTAGTATTTGTTATTGAATTTTGTTTATTTTTTGACCGAAAAGTGTAAGATAGAGATATATATTTACCGGGTTGTCGACTGGACTGCCAATGAGGTCGAATTGTTTGGAATTACCGTCGGAATCTTTAGTTACGAAGGAATGCGGAGGCAAATAAGTCGGAAAAGCTAAACTTCCAATGCAGATGTCCGAGAGTGAAACATCCTTATCCTCCACCTAAATCACAAATTGTAAATATTAATTTATATGTTAAATATAAATACAAATAAATAGGAAAAATAACAAAAAAAAAAAAAAAAAAACCTGATTGGTTGAGAATGTGATGGGGTCTGTGGTGATGACAATATCTGTGAGAGTTTGATTCAGTTTTGTATCACCAAGTTTCTCTTTTATTACTGAATTTACATATTTGCCATTATATTTTATTTCCCCGAACCACTGTTTATATTTCTTTGCAGCACGGATAAAAATATTATCTCTGGACCAAACAAACAAAATATTAATCAAAATTAGAACTACAAAATAAAAAATAAAAAAATTTATTAATAATAATATATAACTATAATAATAAAAAAGAATTACCCCTGTGGGAATATTTTAGGGAAGTTGTCAAGGTAAAATTCTATGATTTCTTGTGCAGTAAACATCGGACGATTATTTTCGTTGGGTGTAGTAAGCATTGCAGCAGTTAGTGCTCCTGTGTTTGTACCCGCAACTACGTCGAAATAATCTGCAATCCTCGCATGTGGACCGTCTATTTTCTGAAGAACATATATAACATTCAGTATCAAAACAATTATGTTTTATACGAATCATGAAAAAATACGTATGTGTATATATATTAATACAGGTAAACCTCTATATATTAATACAGTCGGGACTAGAGAAATTCTATTGATTTATCGAAATATTAAATTATCGAGTTAATAATTTAGCACGTTCACCAAGTTGGGATCGGAAGAATTTATTATTTAAACGAATGTTATTAATTTATCAAGATTCGACTGTATATGTGTGTGTACGTACCTGAAGCTGAGATTCGAGTTTAGCAAGAATAACGAGTGGGATTAAGGCTCTAACTCCACCGCCATCAATCGAAAGAACCCTAGTCGTTGGTTCCTCCTTTACAGAACTGCTGGTATTTGCTCCCATTATTACTGTAGATCGAATTATATTTCTTTTCAGCGATTCGGAAAGTTCGATTTTAGGTGTGTGTGCATGCATGTGTTCTAGTTAGGCCTATTTATAGAGTCAGGGGTTTGATGTAAAAAAGGATGCAAAGCAAAATATGGGATAAGTTTCCTTAATTGCACGGTTTAATTTAAGGTTTATATTAATTAATTAACTTAATTGTTTCTTTTTTTATCCAGAATTTTGTTTCCTTTTGTGGCGGAATTAAATGCATATAAGGAAGGTTTATCTCTTAATTTGTTTAATCTCCATAATTAGGAGATATTTACATGTTGCCCTGTTGTTTCCTTTTTGTTTAATGTAGATTACTTAATCTTAATAAAACCTTCCATATGAAAATTCTCCGGTAAACCTAAAATCAGGACCATCAAATCGATAAGGCTCGGAAAAAAAAAAAAAAACGAGTAAAAGATTAATAATGATGAGATAGAGCATACAGTTGTATAATCTCGAGAGTCCGATATTCCGAGCTGTCCACAGTCGTTGAGTCCGGTAGCATACACATCTCCATTATCTGCCAGATCATCAAGATAGCTAATTAACGAGATTGGAAATCGAAAGAGTTTTCGATTTCTAATTATAAAAAGAAGCAAGTATTTAAAGGCTGAAAAATGAAATCGAAAAACGAGAGCAAAATGGTAGTGATGGTTCGATTATCACGAGCAACCACACGAAACAAAGGCGGAACACAATAAATTTAGAAGATACTTAGTTTACGAATTACGATCCTCCGCAAACACAGCCCTAAAATAATCGAATAACTTGATCTAATAGAAGATTGCAGCTTCTCACCAAAGTCGAAAAATAAACACAGTACAATTCCGATTTTGCACAACACTAGTAGTAACAGTTAGATTTTCAAGGATCAGCCATCGGAGCGCGTGAACCTCACGCGAGCGTTACCGCGTCAGATTACACAAGTCAATATAATCAAATTGAAATCCAATCAAACACTAAAAAACTCCGATCACAATTTTAGAGAGAGCGAAAGAAAATTCACCGGTAAGAAAAAGGGTATGAGCGCCGCCACAAGCTAACTCCTTCAAACTCCGATCAGCAAAAGCCGACGGCGGAATAGGCTGAGGCTTCCACCGGGACTCCAAATTGCCCAGACACAGCGGCAAAACCCTTGTTCCATTTACTCAATTCTTCATCAATTTTTTCAACGGAAACCCACCTTCGAAAACCCGACCCGAATGCTGATCCTGGTCTCTTGTTGACCGAATTGGATAGCAGTGCGAGTTTATTCATGCAGGCGTGAGTTCTTGCCGCCGCCGCCATTGCTTGGTAATTGGGAGAACCCAGTTCATGCTTGCAGAGTAGTTGTGTTTCGAAGCATTTTCGAAAGGGGTAATCGGCATTTTGCACCATTTAAATTACATGACATTGGCACTTTGCACCCTTAAATTGAAAAATTGGCAGAATGCACCCTTCAATTATATTTTGGGTGCGGCTATATGCAATACTCATTTCACTTGTGCAAGACCAAATTAAAGAAAGATTCCAAAAGATTCTATTTTATTAAGATGGAATGACAAGTATGCCCATAAATTAAATTGGCTTTTTTTTTCTCATGTAAGACCAAATACAAATAATGAGAAAAAACAAAATTCGACACCAAGGTCGACACTTAAGCGTCGAATTTCATAGGTAAAAATCGACATTGACATGTCGAATTTGTAGCACAAATTCAAATGTCGAATTTTATACCTAAAAATCGACATCTAAATGTCGAATTTTATACCTCAAATTCGACATCTAAATGTCGATATTTACCTGTAAAATTCGACCTGTACATGTCGAATTCGTTTGCGCGGGATTTTTTTTGGAAAATCGATATTCTAGCTAAAAAAACCCATAAATGCATACATTCTTGGGTTCTTCCATCGTAGAATCTTCTATTTTGATGTCTTATGACTCCATACTTGCCATCTTTGTAAGATTTGTTGAGTTTTGATGATTTTGAATTTCTAGGTTTTGTGGGTTAATGGAGGAGGAAGGAGAAAGGTCTTGTGAGTTTTGGAAGATGGAGAAGATGATAGTTGGTCTTGTGGTTTTGTGGTCTTGTGATAGGGTTTTTTGTGTTTTTGAATTTTTGGTCTTGCATATTTGGAATTTTTTATTTTTTTAATAAATAAGGGTATTATAGTATTTATACATTGAAAATTTTAATTTGGTCTTACACAAGTGGAATTAGTCTTGCATATAGCCGCAGCCTTACATTTTTCTTGGCACTTTGCACCCTAATTCATTTTTTAGATAGAAAAGTAACCTCCTACCTGTTGATGATGGATGGATTTTTCTTTCTTTATTTCTCACAAACTTAAATATATTTCATCTTCTTCATGTCACATATCCAAACCCGACTAAGAACAACTAATATTCATTGTTCTCTATCAAGAGTCTGAGGATACTTTACTCCAATTTTTAATAAATTTATATTTTATTTATTCTAGAATAAATACATATTCAATTAAAAAATAATGTTTGTTAACATGTTATATGCAAATAAAGGTCATACAATCTCCAATTCCATAAATTTTCACCACTCTGATAGTATTTTCAATAGATAATAAAACTTATTTTTTCTTGTTCATATGGGCTTAAAAGGAGAATTTTGAATATATTATGGTTATTTGTGTAAAAAAAATTGTTTACTTTTATTGTTTCATTACATAAATTGGTTAAAACATCAAATGACTTGAGGGTTTTAGTAGAATCCAAGAAACGCATATAAAGACCACGAAAAAGATTTTGAGCTAGACAAGAAAGCACACAGTCTTGTGTGAATCTGTGAAAATATTTGCTAATTCCTGCAAAGCGAGTTCCCCGGTCCTACAATTACGAGCATAGCTTTTGCGTTTAGTAGACATCTTGGTTCTATTTTGCATTCACATTTTTTTTTTCCTAAAATCAAGAGAAACATCAAAATGACAAATGGAAAAATCAAAACACACTGTAATTACTATCATAAAAAAAATCAGTTTTTATATTTAATATTATGGAGTAGATATTTAACTAAAAAGACAAGAGAAAATCTATAAATGAATATTCTAATATTTGGTTTATCTCCTTGGGACAAAGAGATGGTTGAATTAGTTGTTGGATTGATGTAATTGACATTAATCTCGTACTTGTCTAAGAAACCATAAAAAAAAAGGAAGTTTGTGAGAAATAAAGAAGAAGAAAAAATCTGCTGCCCCTTTTCAAATTTCACATAACAGGTAGTAGGTCACTTTTCTAGTCAAAAATGAATTAGGGTGCAAAGTGCCAAACAAAATATAATTGAAGGGTGCATTCTGCCATTTTTTCAATTTAAGTGTGCAAAGTACCAATGGCGTGTAATTTAAGGATCCAAAGTGTTAATTACCCTTTTTGAAAGGATAAAATTCATTTTGCACCCCTGTACTAGGCATAATGTATCGTTTACCCTTTTTAAGTATAGAAAACATCATACACCCCCTGTCCTTATTCTTTTTTCTAATTTTCGTTAGTCAAACCTTTTGATCGGCCGTTGTAAACAAATGATGGGTTTTTTTTATGAAGATACCCCAAATTCTTTGGCTATATATAGGTTCCACAAAAAATAAGCCTAAAAAAATAAGGGATTATATCAGACATAAAACAGGATAAAAGAGTCATTGCACACTCAAATTTAACACCGTGAAAAGTTTGACCATTGACTGCTAAATATAGGGGGGGTGTTTGATGGTATCTATACATTAGGGTTAAATGATACATTTCACATACTACATGAGTGCAAAATGAATTTTACCCTTTTTAAAATGGGTAAACAACATAAAATCCGGTTTTGGAGAACCTACACCTGGTATTACACCATATAGTTTTAAACGACCGATCTACACATAGTAACACACCCCATGTGTATGTGTGCTTGGTGGTAGTTATTTATATAAATTTACGGTTAAAAACCACATGGTGATTTTCATCAAGTATAGGATTTCACAAGCCCATAAAACCCACTATATTAAGGGAAATTTGCGCCAAATCCCCCAACATTTATTTGCTTACGTAAAACCCCCTTGTGTGTTCATTTTACTTTGCACAAAATCCTCTTTTCCGTTAAAAATTAACACCATTAACTATATAGGGAGTTTATGCAATTTTTTTCATAACACCATTAAAATCAAAACCATTTATGGCCTTATTGGTAAATGAGTTTTTTTGTCTGGATCTCTTTATGAATAAGTACCCATCGATGGGCTAATTTGTAATGACCCCTAAATTTTAGATAGTAATTTTTCATTTGCATTATCTTAATTTTTTAATATAAGTATCACCTACAAAAAGAAAATAATTTTGTTTTCTTATTTTCAACAACAAAAATAAATACTTTAAGCAACAAAAATAAATATTCAACTACAAAAGTATAAATTTGATATTCTTAATTTTTTTGATTAATTTACCGTGGAGAAAATATTTAGAAACTGTAGGTATAGTCTCTATTTTAAAAAATCTCTATGATCTCCATTGGTGTTGATCTTTTTACCAAATCCTCTAAAATATGGAGATTTATTGAGTTTAGAGACTCTATTGGAGATGCCCCAAGTTGACATATTTCAATTTTACATGCAATAACATGAAAAAATAGTATTTTTAGTCCTAAATCACTCGAACTTTGAATTTTAGCCGTCGTTTAATGATGTACCTAACAAAATTGTAGAATTTATTTATAAGGACACTTGATATATAGACGAGTCTTTTCACATAATTAAATTCTACAAATGGTAAGTTAGATATCGAATTCATAAATTTCCAAGCGTCCATATAAGTAAAATGCGTCAAGTTTATTTGTCGTGTCATAAAATTAAAAATCATGCAAAAATAGGACTAAAAGTACTATATTTGCAAAGTTATAGTATGTAAAACTGAAACATGACAAGTTAGAGGACTAAATTCCTAAATAGGCTAATCTATAGAACCAAAACTACAATTTTCCCTTTATGTTTTGATAGTTTGGGTTTAGATTCACTAATTTGAGAAATTCCCAAACCCCACAGGCCAGCCACAAATCCATTTTCTATGCAATTAGTAAAGAAACTGTTTTTCTTTTCTCTGTTTATATAATAATTATTTTTCCATCGTTGTCAAAATCACGAAAGTAGACAAATACCTTTTTTTTTTATATAATTAAACAAAAAATAATATATTTTATGAGAGTAAACTGCAAAAAGTACATCTGTGTAATCTTTAAATAGCAAAAACTCTCATGTGATAAATAAACTAGCAAAAACCTCCCTGTGAAATTTAGTCAAAGGCAAAAAAATCCCCCGTTGACTTAAGTGTGGCTCACTCGCGGGTTGCGCGACTGGTAGTTGGTTTTTGGATCTGAAATAAAGAAATTGACCCTAAAAAAGTATTTATATGTATATATATTATATGTACATATATATATATATATATATATATATATATATATATATATATATATATATATATATATATATATTTCTTTTAATTTGATTGTTTAGAAATTAAAATATTGTTAAAAACTAGTAAATAATTTAAATTAAAAATTATTAAAAAATTGTTAATCAAATTAAGTATAGATTTTTTTAAATACATAATAATGGAATTTAAGTTTTCTTTTGATGTAGCGATAAAGTAAAATATATACAAAAATTATGTGATAATAAAAATAAATTAAAGACTCCATTGTACCTTTATAATTAAGATATAACAAAAATAAAATAATTAAAATATTAAAAAAATATAAGAATTTATTAATTGCAAAATCCCGGCGGTATTTGTGTCATTTTATATGAAGTCAACACTCAAATGAGAAATGGGCCGAGTGTGCTATTTAAATAATTTCACAGGGGGAGTTTTGCTAGTTTATTTATCATAGGGGAATTTTCGTTATTTAGAGATTATACAGGGGTACTTTTTGCAGTTTACTCTATTTTATTAAGATTAAGTAGTCGACATTAAACAAAAGGAAACAACAGGGCATGTAAATATTTACTAATTATGGAGATTAAACAAATTAAGAGATAAACCTTCCTTATATGCACTTACTACCACCACACAAGGAAACAAAATTCTGGATAAAAAAATAAGTTAATTAATTAATATAACCTTAAATTAAACCGTGCAATTAAGGAAACTTATCCCATATTAATTTGCTTAGCATCCTTTTTTACATCAAAACCTGACTCTATAAATAGGCCTAACTAGAACACATTCAAGCACACACCTAAAAATCGAACTTTCTCGATTTGTTCAAAAGAAATATAATTCGATCTTCAGTAATAATGGGAGCAAATACCAGCAGTTCTGTAAAGGAGGAACCAACGACTAGGGTTCTTTCGATTGATGGCGGTGGAGTTAGAGCCTTAATCCCACTCGTTATTCTTGCTAAACTCGAATCTCAGCTTCAGGTACGTACACACACATATACAGTCGAATCTCGATAAATTAGTACTCAATAAATTAATAACATCGTTTAAATAATAATTTTTTCCGATCCCAACTTGATGAACGTGCTAAATTATTAACTCGATAATTTAATATTTCGCTAAATCAATAGAATTTCTCTAGTCCCGACTGTATTAATTTATAGAGGTTTAACTGTATTAATATATACACACACGTATTTTTTCATGATTCGTATAAAAAATAATTGTTTTGATACTGAATGTTATATATGTTCTCCAGAAAATAGACGGTCCACATGCGAGGATTGCAGATTATTTTGACGTAATAGCGGGTACAAACACAGGAGCACTAACTGCTGCAATGCTTACTACACCCAACGAAAATAATCGTCCGGTGTTTACTGCACAAGAAATCATGGAATTTTACCTTGACAACTTCCCTAAAATATTCCCACAGGGGTATGTAATTCTTTTTATTATTATTATTTTATTAATATTTTTTTTTAAAATAGTTGAAATTTTGATTAATATTTTGTTTGTTTGGTCCAGAGATAATATTTTTAGCCGTGCTGCAAAGAAATATAAACAGTGGTTCGGGGAAATAAAATATGATGGCAAATATGTAAATAAAGTAATAAAAGAGAAAATTGGTGATACAAAACTGAATCAAACTCTCACAGATATTGTCATCACCACAGACCCCATCACATTCTCAACCAGTCAGGTTTCTTTTTTTTTTTTTTTTATTATAATTATTTTTCCTATTTATTTGTATTTATATTTAACATATAAATTAATATTTACAATTTGTGATTTAGGTGGAGGATAAGGATGTTTCACTCTCGGACATCTGCATTGGAAGTTTAGCTTTTCCGACTTATTTGCCTCCGCATTCCTTCGTAACTAAAGATTCCGACGGTAATTCCAAACAATTCGACCTCATTGGCAGTATAATCGACAATCCGGTAAATATATATCTCCATCTTACACTGCCCGATAAAAAAAATAAACAAAATTCAATAACAAATACTAATTACTTTTTCCGGGATTTTTTTTTGCAGATATTAGCTGCAATGATGCAAATACGAAAGGAGAAGCGTAACTTTTCACCGTTCTTTTTGTCGGTGGGGAGTTGTTTACCTAAATATAACATCAAGAAAGCAAGAAAGTGGTTTCTTTACAAATACACAGTAATGAATGGTTCATCGACCGTTTGGCGTACAATTGGTCGACTTGCATCATTTCTCACTGATTACGACAGTCTCTTTTATCTCCAAGACGCTCACGGTGGAGAAGAATCTCTTCAACGCTTTCTCTCTCAAGATAATTATCTTCGAATTCAGGTATTTTTTTTCTTTTTTCATTAAATATTCATTTACAAAAATATCAAATTTTTTGATACATGTAATAAAAAAAATAAAAATGTATTTATTTTTCAGGACGATTCTTTAACCGGGGCAATGTGTTCAATGGACGTTGCGACGAAGAAGAATTTGAAGGATTTAGTGAAAGCCGGAGAAAATTTGTTGAAGAAACGAGTTTCGAGGCTAGATTCAAAAAGTAGAACTTATGTGCCAATTAGTGAGGAAACGAACGAGGAAGCACTGATTAAACTAGCAGTAACGCTTTCGTGGGAGAAGCGAATTCGAGATCCGGATTTTCTTGTGATAGCAACAATATAAACATAGGCATGCATACAAATTAATTGTGGGGAAATATCATTTTTTTTATTATTTAAGTACATAATTATTATAGGATTTCTTAATCTCATTATATATTGTTTTTTTTTCTCTTGCTACAATAATATTGTCAGTTGTCACAATTCAAACATAATATATTATTTCTAAGTAATATATCAATGATTCCATCAAATATCTTGGTAACATTCTTCTGTTTTCTTTATTTATATTTTACTATTTTTTGTAATAAAATGTCAAGAACAATTATTATTTCGGATTTTCTTATGTTAGGTTTTTGTTAATCACATTTGAGTTTTTTCATGTCTATAGATATTTGTTAATAATTAATCTTAGTTTTCTTCATCAATGTTATTTATTGTAAGGTCCTTCAACTTTTGGACGAATAGCAGATTTGTTATTAATTTTCAATCACGGGAAAAAATTGAAGGCCACCACTCGGATGTGTTTAAATTAAAATTTATTTTTATAGTAATTTGACTTGTGCGATGCACCGGACTGAAATAAAATTAATTAAAATAAAATATATATTATATAATAATATTGAAATTCAAAAATTATAACTTTACACTTAAATCACATCAAAAGTAATAGTTAAAAAAGAAAAAAAAATATACTAATCCTGTTTAGGCTTTACACTTAAATGACACATTTCTAGCCACAACAAATGGGTTAATCAACTCTAGTAATGCTGTGACACAGAGAACATAATAAGAGAATATTTCCAGAATATTGCATATTTTATACACCATAAAGAAATATACTGATCATAATATTATATGGAAACATATTCTCCAAATTACATACTATTGAATTATGGAATCATTAAAGATTAAGTTTGAGAATGATAATGCAGATTTATAAGAAACCAAATTTTAAGTGACTTAAAATCCTCTTAAACACCTTATAACATTGAAAACATTAAAAGAAAAATCAAGTGTTCCTTATTTAAAAAAAAAAAAGAAAAAGGTTAGGTGGTTTGATGAATATATGTATGTGTGTGTATTAGGGGTGTGCGCGGGCCATAAAACCGCGGGTTCTATCAAAATCCGCACTCGTCCCGTCAAACAACGGTTCTTGATTTTGAAGAACAAAATTTGTGGGTTTTCAACGGGATTACGATAGGCGGATCCATGACGGGTTTGTAGTAGAACCCAACCTTTACGGGTCGAACGTCTAAACTATTTTTTGTATATATAATTTATAAATTTTACGGGAGAATAATTAGAAACTAAAATGAATAACCTAAAATTTTAAATTGAAACCAAAATAATGTAAATGTCAAGAGTAAATAAACATTAATATAAAACTAAAAATAACTAATTCGTAACTTAAAAGACAAAATTTAAATAAAATAAATATAGCTTTTTTCAAGCATAACCAACGCCATTCAGTTCTATTCAACACCATTTTCTTCCTTTTTTTTTCTGCCGTGTGTTGACTGTTGTATATATATGTTTTTTTTTTTGCTACATTTTCTTAGAGATTTTCATAATCTTTATAGCTATTATTTCCACAATTATAGAGTAGTTGATTATGTATTTGATACACTATAGATACTTTATTTATTCATTAATATTATTAATTTATTATACTATATAATGTAAACAAAACGACGTTTTTGTA